CACACACACACACCCCTCCCGTGACTGGTCCCCCCACCGTGGGGCAGTCCCTGACCCCTCTGCTCCCCTGCAGCGCCGGCGTGGGCAGGACGGGCGTCTTCATCACGCTCAGCATCGTCCTGGAGCGGATGCGGTACGAGGGCGTGGTGGACATCTTCCAGACCGTGAAGATGCTGCGGACCCAGCGGCCGGCCATGGTGCAGACGGAGGTGAGGGTGGCTGGGGGATGAGGGCAGCCCCGGGAGGCGTCAGGGCAGTGTGCACACTCAGCTGCTCTCCAAAAGGATGGGGGGTCAAAAACCCCCAAAGGGCTTCAGAGGAAGGGCTGGGCATCTTCTTCTAAGAGGTCACAGCCGCTGCAGGCCCCTGGAGCATTGTTCTGCCCTGGCACATGGGGTCGCCATGGGTCAGAGTCCACTAAGGTCCTCACAACCCCTGCAGGCCCCTCAGGCACAGCTCTGCCCTGGCATGTGGTGTCGCCATGTGTCAAAGTCCACTGAGGTCCAGATCCAAGGATTGTCTCCTGCAGTGACAGGGTGGACCCGCTGGTCCCTGTCACAGGGAGACCTCACAGCTGAGTCAGGCCCCTGCCTCGGGCCTGACGGATGCATCGGCCACCAAGGCAGATGTCCAGTCCTCTCTGATGTGCCGGTGGGGAAGTGTCCAGAGCAGGAAGTGGCCTGTCCTGAGCTCATCCTCCTGTGGGGCCCGAGTGACAGTGTCTTAGAGCGGCCTCAGCTTGAGGGAGACAGACTCCCCGCCTGAGGGCATAGCTGAGCTGTCACAGGAGAGAGTTCAGATGGCAGGACCAGGCAGGAAAGAGGGATGAATGGAAGCGGGAGACACGAGGAGGAAGCAGGAAGGGTGCTGTCCCGTTGTGGGAACTGCGACCTTTGAATTGGTGAACAGAAATCCTCTTCTCTCTAAACTTTCCTCTAAGTCACAGTCAGAAAATTTAAAAACAGGTGAGCTCTGGTGGCCTAGTGGCAAGAAACTGCACTGCAATCCCAGAGGTGCATGGTTCAAATCCACCAGATGCTCTGCTGGAGAAGGAGGGACAATCTCCTCCTGTACCAGTCAGATCTGATTTGACAGTACACACACAAAAAATAATAAAGTAAAACAAAATTTTTTTAAAAAATTAAAAAACAAAAGAGGTGTGTACTGTGCAAAGGCGGAAAGGTGGGAGGCTGCCACAGTATTTTGGGGGACCCCCCAGTGCTTTAGGAAATGTTGGAGCTGCCAGCCTAAAGGTGAGCAGTTCAAATCCACCAGCAGCTCCGCAGGAGGACGGTGGGCTGTCTCCCCGGCACCATGTTCTCTGAATGCCTGGAGGGTCGGCTGGGAGTCGCTTCGCACTAACCAGTTATGAGTTGGAGGGCTCCCCCCAGTGTTGCCAGGGCTGGCGGCTCCTGTGAGCGGGCAGCAGGGCAGCTGCCCAGCACTCACGCCCCCCCCTCCTCCCTGCAGGACGAGTACCAGTTCTGCTACCAGGCCGCCCTCGAGTACCTGGGGAGCTTCGACCACTATGCAACCTAAAGCCATGGCCCTCGGCCTGACCCCGCTGACCCGACGTGCCCGTGCTGGACGGACCCTGGAGGCCTGACCCCGCTGACCCGACGTGCCCGTGCTGGACGGACCCTGGAGGCCTGGCCCCGAGGCAGGAGGCAGTGACGGGGCCAGGCTGGGCGCACACACCCCCTGCCCCCAGCCGGCCGCTGCCTTCCCATACTTGGCACATTCCTCCCTCCCTTCCAAAACAGAGATTCCGGGGTGGGGGGTGGGGGGACGGTGAGCAAACAGGGGTGCTCCCCAGGACTGGGCGGGGCCAGGCCGCAGACCCCCTGGCCCCAAGCCGTGCACCCTCCCGTGCCGCACTGGGGTGCTGGACTTGGGGAGTGGGGCGCTGGACTTGGGGGCGGAAACCCACTTTTTTTTTTTTCAACTCTCAGTGTAACAGTAACCAGTGACATTTCCTTTTTCTTTTTTTTTAAATAGTGTATTTTTCCCCCCTCCTTTTTTTAAAAAAGAACCAACCACCAGACCCCACCAGTGTCCGGGTATAAAATGCACAGCCCACTGTGTCTGGTCCTGTCCATCTGTGCATCCCCGCGGTGGGCTCAGCCGTCCCCAGGTGGGATCCCACCTGTGCAGGTGGCGGACAACTACGCGCCTTTCCTCTCCCTCCTTTTTTTCTTTTTTTTAATTTTTAAATTAAATTCTCAGACATATCAAGTACAGCTCTGAGGGTGGGGCCAAGCAGCTTCTGGGGTTCAGCCAAAGGGCCCCGCCTCCCACACACACCCCCACCCTGTGGGGGCCAGGAACACGGAGAAGTTTGCTGTCCTCCGGGGAGAGGGGCATGTGGGCAGCCCCGGATCAGGGACCCTCCCTCCTGGGACTACGGGGCAGTTTTGGGGCAAAAAAAAAAAAAAGCAGATGGATGGGACCCCTTCCCCCCAAAGCAAGTGAGTTTTTCTCTTTGTACAAGAGCAGATCTGCCGCTGCTTCCCACTGTTTATTCAACGGAAGTGGCTGGGTGGTTTCCCACCTCTGTGTATGTAGATATATCGACTTTGTATTAAAGGAAAATTGTCCGACCCCTGCCCACAGTGGCATCTTGTCGTGTCCCCCACTGTCCTTTCATACTCCAGGGGACAGGGCCTGGAGGGCTGCCTCTCACTGAAGGGTGCTGGCTGAACAGAGCTCTTGAGCCAGAGAAGTGGCATGGCCCAGATGGGATTTGAACTAGGGATCTTGCAAATCCAGAACCCACACACCTCCGATTTTGCCTATAAAAAGTGATCATCATTCAGTACCTAGAATGTCCCAGACCTCTGAGATGGAGGGTCCTCAGTCCAGTTTACACAGATGAGGAAAAAGGCTCAGAAGGGGTCAGGCACCTTCTCCAAGTCACACAGTTAAGTAGAGCTTAACATAGTTAAGGCAGAACTGGGATTTCAGCCTCAAATACCACACTGGGCTGCCACCCTTTCCTCCAGGGCAGGGTGGTGAGGATGAAACCACAGAGGGGTGTGCTGGTCCCTTTCCCAAGCTCTAACCCTGCTTCCCGGGAAGAGACCCCCTCCTGTGAGCCCCAAACCTGAGAGGAGAGGGTGAGTCATGCTACTGTCTCCATCCATGTCTGAAAATCCAGACATGGGGCAAAAGATGTCCTCCACAAAAAACGTCCAAGGACAAGAGAAATGGTTTTAGGCCAGAGGTGCAGCCCAAAGACCAAGATAAGGTAGGGCCATGTCTTATAGAAACTAGCACATCAAGGACTCAAAAAGCATAAAGAGCTGTGACTAACATTATTAATAAATAGGTTGAACAGATATTATCTCCCATGTCCCAAGTCTTCCAGGACACAGGAAGCATTTGTAAAACAGCAGCAATGCAGAGCCTCACAAGATCCAAAAACAAATCATTAGCTATCCTGATATGAATCCAAAGGAATATAGTTTGCAATTAAATTAGCTATCCTTGAAAAGATGTACAATCACAAATTTTAAAATTCATTTCTAGGGGAGCTCTGGTGGCCTAGTGGCAAGGAACTGCAACTACAATCTCAGAGGCGCACGGTTCGAACCCACCAGATGCTCTGCCGGGGAAGGAGGGATAATCTCCTCCTGTACCAGTCAGATCTGATTTGATGGTACACGCACACAAAATAAATAATAAAAAAATTAAAAAAACTCATTTCTAAACAAGGCACAAAGGTGGAAATCACAGCTGTTAAAACTGATCAACAGTTTAAATAGCACATTCTGAAATAAAACTTTCAGAATGCAGCCAAAGGAGTATCCAGAGGAGAAATCATAGTCTGAAACTTACTTATTAGAGAATGAGAAAAATTGAAATTACACATGAAAAAGTAACTAAAATAAGTTTTCCATTCAAATAACTAAAGCATGAGATAAATGAAGAAATAAAGACGAAATTGGGCACTTGTCAACTATAATGGGGCACTTTTAAGATTGTTTTCTTGCATTTACAAAATCAAAATCTTTATCTAGAAATACCAAAAGTATGTAGCACTTGGCCAACTGACTGGAAGAGATCTATATTTGGTCCCATTCCAAAGAAAGGTGATCTGATAGAGTGTGGAAACTATCATTCATACCATACACAACCAAGATTCTGCTAAAGATTATCTAAAAATGACTGGTACAGCACATCAACAGAAAACTGCCGTTAAGTGCAGGCTGGGTTTAGAAGGGGTCATGGTACTAGGGATATTATAGCTACTGTTGGATTGACCTTGGCTGAAAGCAGGGAATTCCAGAGGAATGTGTTACCTGTTTTTCACTGACTATGCAAAGACATTTGTGTGGATCTGTGGCTAACTCAGAAAAATGGGAATCCCAGAACATTTGATCGTGTTAATGTAAAACCTATACTTGGACCAAGAGGCAGCTGTCAGAACAAGGGAACAAAATGGGGAAGAGCATTGTTCAAAATTGGGAAGGGTGTATACCAGGGATATGTCCTATCTCCATAACTCTTCAATTTATATGCAGAACAGATTATCTGGGAGGCTGGGCTCTATGAGGAGAAATGTGCCATCGGAATTGGAAGAAGACTGATCAACAATCTGCGTTATGCAGATGATACAACCCTGCTTGCTGAAACTGAGGAGGACCAGAAGCACCCGCTGCAGAGGGTCAAGAACTACAGCCCTCATTATGGATTAAGCACAACATCAAGAAAACAAAAGATTCTCACCGCTGGGCCAATTGGCAGCAGCATGATAGATGGTTAAGAGACTGAGATTGTTCACAGCTTTAGTTTGCTTGGCTCCACAGTCAACAATCTTGGCACCAGCAGCCAGAAAATGAAAAGACGTATTGAATTGGGAAAGTCTGTTAGAAACCTCTCCAAAGTACTGAAGAGCGATGATGTCATTCTGGAGACTAAGGTGCGCCTGATACAGGCCATACATAGCAATCACTTGCTATGTGTCAGAGAGCTGGACAATGACTAGGGAAGATAGAAGGAGAATTTATGCCTTTGAGCTGTTGTTCTGGAGAAGAGTATTGAATATACCATGGACTGCCAGGAGAAAAAACAGGTTTGTCCTAGAGAGGGATCAACCAGGCTGTTCCTTGGAGGCAAGGATTCTGAGGCTTCATCTGGCATACTTTTGACATGTTTCAAGGAGGGACCAGTCCTTGAGGAGGGACTTCATGCTTGGGAGGACATAGGGACAGCACAGGAGAGGAAGACTCTTGATGAGATGGATTGATTGACTGGGGTTTTGGGGGTAGGTAGAGAGACTGGTACAGAATAGAGCAGGGTTTAGGGCTGTTGTACATAGGGTCACTATGAGTCACATTAACCAAGTGCTAATCAAAGTAAAATAATAATGCAAAGACACTGAGAAAGCCAGAAGAAAGGCATCCAGATGAAGGTATCTGTTAAGTACTAAAATGAATGTTGGGTGTCGAGAGAAAACAGAGAGTGGGAGGCAATAACAGAACTGAATCTGGGGGTAGGAAAGAATTTTCTGTTTACCGTGGGATAGTGGGAAAAGCAGACAGGCTGTGGAGAAAGGGAGAGGTGGAAGAGAAGTGTATGGGGCAGCATTTGACAAAGCTAGAGTACCTGCACACAGAGTTTAAAGTGAAATCTTGGGAGAAAGAGAATCACAGTTGTGCTGGGAGAGTGAGTCCAACTCTTCGAAACTGAGAACAAGCAGTTAAGGGAGTAAAGCTCTCGAGGTGAATAATGCAGCCACAAACTTGATCAAAGGGGCAGCATTTGATTTCTGGATGCAAAGAGCATACATTCTTAAACACTTGGAGGCATCATGAAAGTGGGAGTGATAAGAAGCACTGGTGGCATAGTGTTTAAGCACTCAGCTGCTAATCAAAGGTCAGTGGTTTGATCCCCCAAGTGGCTCTGCCTGGGGAAGTTCTTCTCTGTCACATGGGGTCACTATAATTCAGAACTGACCCAACTAAAACAACAGACCGTAAAGCAAATCTCATCATTCATACCTCACTCACTAGCCACCTTGCAATATAATTAATCTCATAGTTCGTGGAATCCATATAGTAGGAAATACTGAAACATCAATCAACACGATATTTAAAACTGGTTGATGAGAGCACAGCAAATTAAATACCGTGGGAGGTATACAAGTACACAGAGGACAGTTTCAAATCTTAATTACAGGCATTTGAGAAAGAATAGAAATAAGTGGAATAAGTAGCCAAATCCATGCTCAGGAAAAGGCATAGCCTCATGAATTTATGACGAAAACATGTTTTCAGGTATCTGTCTCTACAAAAAGAACAAATACACAGATATCATGAAAATGACAGTTCTACCAAAGGCAATCTACAAATTCAATGCAATCCCAATATAGATACCAATTCCATTCTTCGAGATGGAAAAGACAATTTCAAATTTTATCTGGAATGGGAAGAGGCCCCAAATAAGTAATTGTTACTGCTGTTACGTGCCATCGAGTCACCTGCGACTCATAGCAACCCTATCTATGGACATTAACTTTGAACCGTGCCCTATCCTGAGCTTATCTCACTC